TAAGAATTCTTGATTTAAGATATCATCTCTAAATTTTGAAAAATATTTAATAATAGAAAGCATTTCTTTTTAATTGTGGAATAATTAAATTGGGCTTTATCTCATTTACCATAAGTAAATCGAACTAATTGTTCTTTCTTCGCTTGAGGATCTACTTGTTTTAATATTCCTCCATAACCAATATTAGAAGCATCTGTTTTAACTATTTTGAACCAGTGTATATTAGCTAGATGAATGCAAGGTAGACATTTAACTTTAAGTTTAATTCTTCTAACTGTAGCAGTATGTTGCTCAGTCCAGGGCTTAACATTCTTTTGAAGCCTATCATATAAAAGAACTGTATCTTGAGCCAGATTTTTATAATAATCTGCTACATAATTTAAAGCACCTAAAAATCTTTATAACTGTTTAGTATCAGTTATTTCATCAGGAAATTTTAATGCAAACTCGATGCTACGATCAATAAGAACTATAGTTCCTTTTTCTATATTATGACCCAGAAATCTAATCTGAGTTTGGAATAATTTTATTTTTTAGGGTAGATATTGCTAACCCATTTTTAATGGCTAGATTCCTAAAAATTTCTAAGTGTTTAACATGTTGATCAAAGTTATAAGAAAATATAAGAATATCATCTATATATGATAATATAAAATCCGTATAAGGAATAAAAATTTCATTCATAAAGTTTTGAAATTCAGAAGGGTTGTTTTTAAGCCCAAATGACATTACATTCCATTCATATTGTCCAAATGGGACAACAAAGGCAGTTTTATACTTATCTTTTTCTTCAATTTGAATGTGCCAATAGCCTGATTTTAAATCAAACTTAGAAAATATTTTTGCATTATTAATGCGATTTAATAAATCACTTTTATTAGGAATAGGATATCTTATCTATTTAAGGACAGTATTTAAAGGTTTATAATTTATAACTAAGCGAGGAACACCTCGTTCTCTTTCTACTACGTTATTAACATAAAAAGCAATATAGCTCCAAGGAGAATATGATTTCTTATTAATTTTTTCTCTATAAGAGTTTGTATTTTTTTTGCATAAATCAAGATATTTCTTGATTCATTTGACAGGGTCTTGACCTAGTCAGAATATTTTGCTTATTAAAATCTTTAATATAAGGTAAAGAAACAATATGTTGTTCCCTATTCCAGAATGCATTTGGCACGCCACTGCATACAGTGAGCTTGAATTTATTTTCAATTTGACTTATTAAGTCCTTTTGTTTCTTTATTTGTTCTTCAATTTAAACAAATACTACTTCTTTTAGAAAATTTATTTGATTTTCTTTCAAGATTATATTCTTGACTTCATTGAGCATTCTTGTCTGAGGATCTGTAATATATTCAAATATAATTTTTTTTATTCTCAAATTTAGCTTTTATGCCATTGGTGTCAATTTGACTAATTGGCATAATATTATGCAAAAAAGGAGTCCCAAGTATAACATGTTGGGATAAATTTTTAACTAAGATACAGGGAGTTGGTATACAAGTTTCTTGAACACATATATGTACTTGTGGTAATTTATATTTGACTTCTAATTGATTACCATTTGCACTACTCAAAGTTTGAGTAGTTTTTTCAAAGAATTTAGAAGGAATTATGCCTTCGTTTATGCAGTTTAGATCTGCACCACTATCGACCAAAGCTATAAGATCTGGTATGAACATTTGTCCAGCTATAACTGAAGTAATTTTTATATACCACTTTTGAGAGGTAACTTGTTACAATATTTGTAATAGTGCATTTGTGTCAATATCATTATCACTATGTTCACTATGTTGAACTATAGCACTTGAATTTTCTTCTAATCTTGAGAGAATATATTTATTTTCTTGCTTTAAGTCTTTAACCTCCTTTTTTAACTCTTGTATCTCTTTATTAAGAGATGATAAAGATAAATCTTTTGATGTGTGGGCAATATTTTGCCTTCTTTTCAAGACTTCAGAAAACCTATAAACATTATTAATATTAGGGTTTTCTTTATTTTTTATTTACTAAAGTTTTTAAAAGTTCTGTTTTTAGTTCAGGGGATATATCTCCAGATAAGATTTTTTTTCTATTTATCCAGGATTTGATTTAATCATATTTATTGATATTCCATTCATTTGAACTATAACTTTCCAATAGTCAGCCTCTCTTCATTACAGTTATTAACTGTACATTTATAATTTTCTTCGTCCTTAGATTCCGAGGTTAATGAATATAATTCATCTTTAGTATCATTGTTAATCATGATTTTATGTAACATTCTTTTAAGACATTCGTCTTCTATTTCTTCAATATTTTTCTTTGTATAACAGCGATTAACATAGTGTTCGATACGACCACATTTATAATAATGTATTTTGTTTTTCTCTTTTTTAATTTTTCTTTTAGCCCTATCTGACTTTTCTCTTTCTTTTTCTTTAAAGAATTTTTTCTTCTTTTCCTTGAAAAAATTCTTAGTTTTTCCTTTATTATTAATATTTTCTTTATCAACCTTATATGGTTGATCATAAGCAAATTGCTCGTAGAACTCTTCAAGTTCAATTCGTTTTGTAAGTCTTTGAAACTTTATTTAATTTTTAAATTTTAAGTCATCACATAATGCTAAACCTTCTTTAATACAGTCATTCGATAGATATCCATATGATAGATTGCCATAGGGTATATAACCCCCATATTCAGATCGAATTTTATTTTGAACTTTTTCTACAAATAATGTAGGTAAGCCATCAATAAATTTAGCTTTCTAAATTGTTTATGTTGGTTTAAGTAAAATTCTTTATTTAGAATTTTTCTTTCTAAACTACATTTTCAAAATTCATTTCATACGAAAACTCATCTCCGTATTAGGAGGAGAAGTTTTATCCTTATATAAAGGATGATGAATATTATTTTCGAATATATTTATTCCTTGAACAGAACTGGTTCTATAAGATCCAGATCTTGATAAAGAATTTCTAGCTGATATAGCCACATCAGATATTCAAATGGTTCTAGATGGATTAAACGTTATTTCGACTTCTCCATCTGTTGTTTGTACAATTTGATCAACATCTTGATTGACAATAGGTAAAGGTTGTATAGTGTTGGGTATTATCCAATTGTCTGGAAAGTTTATTTCATCCCACTTTATCTGTCTATTAACAACAATGTTGGAAGATAAAACATTAGTTTCTACCAGAACAGTTTTACCTGGCTTAGAATGTATTTTAGCCTTAGGGGCTAAAGTATTAAACACTTTATAATGGATCCTATAAATAATAGCAATTGTTTCTAATCCAGGTATGAAATTATAACCATGAGTCTTTATATTAAGACTTATTGACTCGAATATATTCGGGTCAGTCAAAGATAGACTTAAATTAGGATAAACATTAAAATAAACAGGTCCATTACAAAGATTGGTTTTCATTATACCCATTAAAAATTGGGTCCAATTTAAACACCTTGCATCTCTAAGACAGACTAATAGTGATGCGTTTAGACTGGATAAAGTTAAGGGTCTAAAGGCAATTTGTATTAGACCTACATGTATGTATTTATACTTATCCATATATGGATTTACATCTGCAATTCCTAAGAGTTGAATTGTCTGTTCATCCCTATTGACTGTAGTAGTCCTTTTAGGGTCTTAATATTAATTAAAGACTTATAGTCTAAAAATCCTATTTTATAGATATCTCTACTTGGTACATCGAGTATGGTCCACTTATTAAGTGATTCAATATCAGTTTCATACTCAGTTAGCTGAGCGTTTTTAACTTTTTTCATTCCAGTATAACTGGATTTACGAGCCAAACTACTCTCCACTATGTCTGATACTCACTACCAAGCATAAAATTTATGCTTGGTACCAATCATACCCATATTTCTCATATATATATAACCCAAATTTGTCACAAAACAAAGAAACTACTCACAAGGTAAATATTATTGAGCATTTTACTTTAAAATGAGATCTTTTGTAGCACACAAAACACAATTATAAAATCTTAATGGTAATACACATACTAAGCTTAGTCTTATGGTGTGTTTGGGAGTTTACTTAGGAAAGGGAAGGAAGGGAAAAAATTCCCCTTCCTTCCCTTCCCCTCCATTACATCCCAATTTGGGGTGTAAGAATTTGGGCCAAATTTCCCCTCCATTCCCCTTCTCTACCTTCCTAAATGAAACTCCCAAACAAGGTTAAAATAAAATTTCCCTTCCCTTCCCACTCTCTACCCTCCATCCAAACAGGCCATTAAAGCTCTTAACCATGTGGTAAGAGTTGAAAGTTACATTCCAACATGCTCCTAGTAGATTAAGTATTTTTATGAGTTGAAATTTGGACTCACGCAATGGTATTAGTTTTTATAAAATACACATTAAAATCCTTGGCAGTGAGATTCACATCCGCATTAAGCTTGTGGCTAGTGAGATGCAAACACGGGTTGCTCTGGTACTAAATTAAATTACTAATCATTACACCCAAATTTCGAGATTGTCCTTGAGAGTTGATGGTTATCCACTTCCGTATACTTAAAGGATGATCAAAAGATTTATTGTCCATACTACAGTAAATGCTATAATAAATTACTGTGGAATAAATAGTAAAATTTTTCAACCTTCCTTTGCGTGTAGAGGAGTAAATTTACTATTCATACTACAGTAAAATTACTGTATCATAAACAATATCTTTTAAGTATAGAGCAGTGGATATAATTTCTAGTTTTAAGCATACAATAGTCAAATCGAATGTATTAAACTTTAGAATGAGACATGTTCAAAATGCATTGTTTAAAAAAATAGGGGGTCGTGCTTTACACGGGTACACATTAGTATTTTATATGCTAACACTTAGCACATGCTTTACACGGGTATGCACCCCTACTAACAAGTCAAAAGTAAAAAAAAGAAAAAGAAAATTAACCTAAATGACTTTCAAAACAAAGTTAATCAAAATAATCAAAGCAGCCATCAATCAAGAAAAAGCGAGAAAGCGAGATTAATTAATCACCAACCGTCCTCCCACACACCAGTCACCCTCCAGGCTTTCCAAGATCCGAGTCATCCGACAGAGCCCCTAAAAGAAAGCAAACCAAATTCGTAGATCCCCCCGCCTCCTCTCTCTTCGATCCCAGCTAGCTTACTCCAGTCAGTGCTCAGTCATGCTCGCCCCAAAGCCAGCCGTCTCATCCAAGCCCCCCTCTCTCAAAACCCAGCACAGCCACCCGCTTCACCCCCGTGGGCCCCACCTCCTGCACGTGGTCCGGCGGCGGCCCAGACTCACCTTCACCTCCGGCCCGCCGTCGATCAGGGCCGTGATCAGCAGCGATGACAAGCACGTGACCACCACGGTGAGCTCGCGTGACGACAGCCTGAAGGAGTTCTCGGAAACGGTTGAGGTGAGAGCGGTGCTGACGGTGAGGAACAAGCTGAAGCAGAGGCTAGTGGACAAGATCGAGGATCAGTTGGAGTATTTTGTTAATGGGATTGGGCAGGGGATCCTCGTTCAGCTTGTCAGCGAGGAGATTGATCCTGGTTTGTTTTTAAAAAAATTATTTTTTCTGTTTTTTCTTTTATCTTTTTGGATTTTTGTGGGTTCTAATGCGTGTTTTTGTCTGGTAGTAGGTATTTGAACTGGGTATTTGTTTGTTTGTTTGTTTTATTTTGTTTTAATTCTTTTCTTCTATTCTAATTTAAGGAGTCTCGGCTGATTTCTTGTGGATTTGGGAGTAGAAGATGGCACTCCTATCAGTTCAATATTGTGCAGTAATTTGTAGTTGAAATTGACCCAAAATGCTTAATTAATCTATACCTGAGTTGGTTTAAGGGTTTCTAATTCTAAGGCTTTTAGTTCACTACCATTATTGTGCTATGAGAGATGTTGTTGATCTCTAAGTTTCTCGCCAGTTTTACTGGTTGAAGTCTCTTAGCTTAATCCATGTCTCAATTATAATTGTCAATGGCATTTTATATTGTGAAAATCGATGTTATTTTGTATACTTTCTAACTTCCTAATGCGATTACTCAGCTACAAACTCTGGGAAGAGGAGTGTTGAGACCCCGGTAAGGGGTTGGTTGCCAAAGCCGTCGAACCATCCGTCCCTTGCTGAATACGCTGCAAACTTCACCGTCCCGTCTGATTTTGGCCGGCCCGGAGCGATTATCATCACCAACCTTCATGATAAAGAGTTTCATCTAATGGAGATTATAGTTCATGGTTTCCCTGATGGACCCATCTTTTTTCCATCGAAAACTTGGATCCATTCCTGCAAAGATAGCACCGAAAGCAGAATCATATTTACCAGAATTGAGTTGAGCTAGTCTACTGTTATAGTATTCAAGATGCAGCTACTTAGATCCAAACTTAAACTTGAACTTTCGTAACGAAATTCCATACCGTTGGATGTGATCTATTGCAAATCATGTGATCTATTGCAAATCAACATTTTAGAAAAAAATGTCTAATGATTTCAACGTGTTTTTACCATGGCTTTTATCTTGTCAAAATAAACGTTTTAGGGTTTCCATAGCGTCGGATATTCTCTTACTCCTTGATACGTGATTGGAAACTCAAATTATTTGAAAATTTGTTTGCAAAAAATCCATGTGTTTTGCATCACATCTAACGGTATGCATTTTCAGATTGGAATCCGCATTATAAGTTTGGGTCTACACTATCCGCAACTTAGATGTTATCAATCGTGGTCTTGTTCAACCTAATTATAAACTTTAAATCTAATTGCGCTAAATATTGTCTTCTTTATTGCGATAAACAGGCATACTTGCCATCCGAAACCCCTGCTGGTCTTAAGGAATTAAGGCAAGATGTTTTGGTTCAACATCGAGGAAACGGGAAAGGAGAAAGAAAGAAGTTTGAGAGGATCTATGACTACGCTCCATATAACGACTTGGGTAATCCCGATAAGGATGTGGATCTTGCTAGGCCTGTGTTGGCTGGTGAGGAGAGGCCGTATCCTAGACGCTGTCGCACTGGAAGACCTCCAAGCAAATCAGGTTCTTCCGAAATCACTCATAAATACTCCGACGACTTTCATAAAAATTCACATTCTTTCCTTTGCAACTAGGTGCATTTATAGTGACAATATGTGTTTAAGCATCAAGAGAAGTTGCAGAGGATCTCCCTAAGGTTTGTTGGATGACAGAAAACCTACATGGTGGTAGGAATATCATAAAATCTACCAGAAGCTTTAAAATTAACACTTTCATCCCTCCTTTTGAGTTTTCCATGTAACAGGGTGATATGGATATTTAATGATGTAAATAATCTTGTCTCATCTTATGATAGAAGAAAAAGATCATGATATTCTTTTCACTAAATGACTGTCTGATGGGAATATCAAAAGGTGATGAAAGTGTTAGTTTTAAAACTTCATGGGATTTTTTTTTTGTTATTCCTACAAACTTTAGGGAATTTCTGCAATTTCCTGAACGTTAAAGCGATGGGTCAAGTTTTGCTATAAACATGATGTCTTCTGTTTTGTTCTTTTTTCTGCTAGTGGTGATATGGGCGAATGAAAATTCTTAGACATGAAAGATCAAAATTTGTACTTGCTTCTCTTTGTAAGGTTGCAAATATGGTCATTCTTGAGATAAGTTAACTCTTGCATCTTTAATTGAAATGTGAACAGATCCAACTGCCGAGAGTGGAGTAGATAAGCCTGATCCTGTATATGTTCCTCGAGATGAAAATTTCGAGGAGATCAAGCAGAACACATTCTCTTCAGGAGCGTTGAGGGCGCTGTTGCACAATCTCATACCAGCTATGAAGGCTGCCCTTTCTCATTCAGATAGCCAATTCGAGTGCTTCTCTGATATAGATAGGCTATACAAAGAAGGGGTGTCTTTAAACAGTGATGAACCAAAGTTTATGGATAGATTCATTATTCCATCTTTGATGACAAAGGTCATGACCATTGGTGAAAGATTGATAAAATATGACATCCCTTCAATTATATCAAGTAAATGCAGTTTCACATTGACTTGTATATTTGCATTTATTATTACAATCTTTAAAGCTAAAAATTTCCATCTTCAGGAGATAGATTTTCTTGGTTGCGTGACAATGAGTTTGCACGCCAGACTCTGGCCGGTGTAAATCCAGTGTCTATTAAGAGACTGAGAGTACGTCAAAGATCAATTTAGTCTTTTAATTATAATTTTATATCTTTTTATATCTTTCTATTTCTTCTTTGGATCTTATTTTCTATGAAAGTTATACAGGAGTTTCCTATTCTTAGCAAATTAGATCCAGCAGTATTCGGCCCTCCAGAGTCTGCAATAACTAAAGAGTGCTTAGAACACGAACTAAATGGAATGAGCCTTGAAGATGTACATATTCTATTTCATTATTTTTAGCTTCGTTATATTTTATTGGTGATCTTTTATAATTACTCATAATGCAGGCAATGGAGAGCAACAGATTATTTATTCTCGACTATCATGATCTCCTCTTGCCCTTTATCAAACGAATGAACTCTTTGAAGGGGAGGAAGTCCTATGCTTCGAGGACTGTATTTTTCCTCACTCAAACTGGAAATCTTAGACCTATTGCGATTGAGCTTAGCTTGCCACCTTCATCTTCTTCTTCATTGAGAAAAAAGGTCTACACTCATGGGCACGATGCAACAGCGTTCTGGATTTGGAAATTAGCAAAAGCTCATGTTTGTTCTAACGATGCTGGTGTTCATCAACTTGTGAACCATTGGTGAGCACTTCAGCTCAAATATATATACTCATGTCAAACTACTCATTAGTTTGTATACTTCTTTCATCATCAACCAGTAGATTTCAAATTCATATTTTGACTCTTCATGTAGGCTCTTCCTCAGTTTTGAAGAATTTTAATGTGTTGCTCCTCTGTTGCAAGAGCTTAAATTGTACGAGGAATAAAGCAAGTTGTGTTTCCTGTCAAGTAGCCGGACTAGGATATTGCCAAGTCCCTCCTTTGTCCATAGTCTTTGAGTTCAGAAGCTTTCACCAAATTAGATATTAGATGTCCTGTTCATAGTCAGTCATAAAACTTATCAATTGTTTCAGAGAGAAAGAAAGTATAAAAGGGAACTTGAGAGAAAGAAAGTATAAAAGGGAACTTTAGTTCATCCCCAAGGGAGAAGATGCATATAAAAACGCAGTTATGCATAGCATATCTATGTATATACATGTATTATTCCACATGCACACACGAATATGCTTATCTGTATTACTATTGCTTTAAATGCAGGGTAAATTACAGGAAACCCCTGTCATCTATACCCATTTTTCGAAGAAACACCCTCATCTCTTATGTTGAACAAAAACTGCTGATCTGTGGTAGTACCAACTTAAAACCCCCTTGGATATATGGTAGTTACTAAAATCCTTAGTTTTTAAAGAGTTTTAGACAAAAATTGTAATGCATGCAAGAGGATTAAGTTTAAATTCCACAAACCATGTTTAAATTTCACAAAACCCTTTTTAGAATTTAAGCTTAATCCTCTCACATGCATCACGAGTTTAGCCTAAAGCTATTCAAAAATTGTTAATCTCAACAATTGTCTTAGGTGATGGAGTTTTTTTTTGTTGAACTTTATATATGTGGGGGTTTATTGAAAAGCTGGGTATAGATGTGAAGGGGGTTCTTGTAATTTACTGGTTCTTGTAATTTACTCTTAAATAAAGTATGAGATAGACATCAGCTTTGATTCCGAGATAGACATCAGCTTTGATTCATCTCCCACTAATTTGTAGCATTTCATATCTTGCATCTTCTTACTTTCATGCCTTAAATGGTGATAAAAATTCAAAATTTGCAGGTTGAGGACTCATGCTTGCATGGAACCATACATCATTGCTTCTCATAGGCAGCTTAGCTCAATGCATCCGATTTTTAAGCTGCTCCATCCTCACATGAGATACACAATGGAAATCAATGCATTGGCACGTCAGAGTTTGATAAATGGAGGGGGAATTATAGAGGGCTGTTTTAGCCCTGAAAAGTATTCGATGGAGGTTAGTTCAGCTGCGTACAAGAGTATGTGGCGTTTTGACATGGAAGCTCTGCCGGCTGATTTGATCAGGAGGTGAGGATAGTATACATGTATTGGTGGAATTTTTATTTTCATTTTGTTTTAATTTGCTTTAATAGTTTTGTCTTTTGTCAATAGTTGATTCATTTATATAACCAAACAATTCATAAATATACGATAAACTCTCATAAATTAATATGTGTTGCATTGTTTTTTTCCAAAAATATATGACAGCCAATGTCAAGAAAAGTTATATTTCTTTCTTTTGGCTTCGTAAGGACTCTGCACATCTCATATCCTATCAATAGGCTGTCACATGGTAAGCAATAGAAGAAAGTTTCCTTTATTACCAAACAATTGTAGTTCTCGAAATCATGTACATAAGGAAATGCCTAAACTTCAAATGCGTTATTGCAAGAAAAAATTATATCATAACAATTTAGGTCACATATTGGTTTCTCACTTGAATGACATTAAAATTTCAGAGGCATGGCAGTTGAAGATCCTTCGATGCCTTGTGGCATCAAACTCATTATTGAGGACTACCCATATGCTGCCGATGGTCTCCTCATCTGGTCAGCAATAGAAGATTGGGTTCAAGACTACGTCAACCATTTCTACACAGACTCCAACAGTGTATCCTACGATGCAGAGCTCCAAGCTTGGTGGGAAGAGATAAAGGACAAAGGACACACTGACAAGAGAAACGAACCATGGTGGCCTAATCTAAATACAAACGAAGATTTGACAAGAATACTGACTATAATGATATGGACCTCATCAGGACAACACGCTGCCATCAATTTCGGTCAATACCCATTTGGAGGTTATATGCCGAACAGACCAACATTGATGAAGAAACTAATTCCTCAGGAGGATAATGAAGCTGAATACGAGAAATTTTTATTGAATCCTCAGCACGTTTTCTTGACATCTGTGCCCTCACAGCTCCAAGCTACGCAAATAATGGCTGTTCAGGATACGTTATCTACTCATTCACCCGATGAGGAGTATTTGGGTCAAGTTCATGAGACTCATTGGATTAATGATGGGAAGATTTTGAGCTCGTTTGAGAAGTTTTCAGCGAGATTGGAGGAGATTGAGGAGATTATAAAGAAGAGGAACAGAGATTTCAGGCTTAAGAACAGATGTGGTGCAGGGATACCTCCATATGAGCTTCTTTTGCCCACTTCTGGTGCAGGAGTGACGGGTCGAGGAATTCCAAATAGCATTTCTATTTGATTGCTTCACTAGATTAGGGTTTTCATTCTTGGCAACATTTAGCATTCTGGAATGCTTGTAAGTTTTGTTTCATTTGTGCATGCCAAATATTTTTGCTGAAGAGAGTATTTGAAACACATCAGTTGCATTTGTAACATATCGGTTTTATTCGGCAAGCTTGAAGTGAAGTTAATAAACTTGATGTTATTTAGTTATGAGTATTATATCTAGTGTTATTCCTCTACTTTCTTTTATGTGTTATCCCTATGTTTTTCTTAGATGCTTTCTGGTAATGATAGTTATCTCAGATGCAAACTATCAAAGTGATTTCTTCTTTTTACCTATTGGGTATAATGGCAATGACATGATATTTGCAAAGTAAATTGATGTTTCTAATTCAGTCACAATGCAAGCTTATTGGCAATGAAGTAACTTCTAGGATTATATACACCAAAGTAAACTACTATTGAGAAATGTATTTTGCATGAATCAGTTCACAAATGATGTAGAATACTTGCTTTCTAATTTAAATGTGTAACTTCCATTCTATAAGAATTGGAACCAGAAGACCGTACACAACTACAATGACCTATGCAACAACACTTCAATTTTCTATCTCAAGCAGACAATAAGCACTCTTCACTTAAATAAATGCATTCATGCTAGAAGTTTCATCTCCTGCAAATAGTGAATATGTAATTTCAAACTGGTTAAGGAAAAGCTGAACTTTGATCAGGTAATTTATTTGGCTACGACTTTTGGGAATGTAAGACTTTGAGCCTCCTACAACAAATTAATCCAAGATTCTCTCTTGTCTTGATCAATTTGATCAATATATTATCTGTCGCACTTTAAATTGCAAATTGCAACCCTGAAAGGATTGCCGGTGAGTGTTAGAATTCAAAAACTGTACCAAGCTTCTCTCACAAGAAAATAAAACCCATTTCAAGTAACAAAAAAACAATTATTTATATATCGCCATACAATTGAAATTCATTGTGCTGTTAGCAAACTAAATCTGTTACTGTACCCATACTACAAGTAAAATCTTGCTTAAGGTAACATATAAAGAGTTCGCAGTAACTTACCGGTATCCCATACAGGACTCGCCAAAACCAGAACAATTAAATTATAGTTTATGTCAACATAAAAGTTTTAGATTTCAGTTTGCTCACTATCAGCAGAACAAGCCTCCTTGTGAAGTAATCAAACACATATCCACTACCTGTCCAAATTCCTCTTTTAACTTGTGCTTTGTATCCTCTATAAGTGGCATATTATGTTTGATCAGGTTTAGCAATGAAAAAGTCAATGCTGGCTCTTCAAGTCCACCACTGCCTTGTTCTGAAAAAATCAGCATGATCCAGATGCAGACCTTAGCTTGTCCCGTAAGAATCAAAACATTGGATTTGGATGGACGAACTAATGCCTGAAAACAAATGTTATTTTCTTTTAGTGGGTATAACATCTCACTATATATAACGCAAATAATGGAGAGGGGATCCTTCATGTTATTTATCATCCGTCAGCTACAAAATGGAACCAGCTATTGTTATATCTTCCAAATGCATTTTTCCTATGCCTAGCCTTGAAGGAAAGATTAGGGTCACGCTCACCGACAAGAAACATCATCCTATAACTTGCAGGATTGGAAATATTGATGATGCACAACAAAAAACATTCTTCGGGAGAAAGAGCTTCCCTCCTGGATTTGTCTTTGGTGCTGCAACTTCTGCTTACCAGGTCTATCTCAGGCACCAGAGGGCACGTGCATTTGCATGAAATGGATGAATAGCGTATATTGAAACTAAGACCAAATCTTAGTATTTGCAAAACTACCCCCAAAATCATCAACTTTGTGGAAGAAAACTCAATCAACAAATCAATAAGCTAATTTGCAACTGCAATGTAATAATATGAAAAGATTAGCATACTCAGGATATCCAGCAAAGTTGATGCTTTGTAGATTATTTTTTAAACCAAAGTTGATGAATTGCCGGGTAGTTTTGCAAATACACATGATTTGGGATATATATTTCTATACACACACACACCCCAGTATTTAATAAACACTGTTACTCTGTAGGTGGAGGGAGGAGCCAATGAAGGAGGAAAAGGAAAGAGCATATGGGACACTTTCACGCATAATCATCCAGGTCTTACAACCCCTTTCATCTATATTATGATGGCATATTACAGATTATTTCATTTTATTTTTAGTTTTATTACTGGTGATTGACTATGAAGATTGGGATTTGATATTTTGTAGATAAGATTGCTGATCATCAGAATGGAGACGTAGCGGTGGATTCATATCACAGATACAAAGTTGGTCTTTGCTTCGCTACTTGCATTCATGTGTTTTGACTTGTAAAATAGGAAGATATAATTATGATGAGTTGTAAATGCAGGAAGACATAAAAATTTTGAAGGATATGGGAGCTGATGCCTACAGATTTTCCATTGCTTGGTCAAGGATATTGCCAAGTAAAAGTTTTATTAATTTATATTTCATGAATTTTTTGACTCCCGATGCTCATTTGAGGGGAAAAAATTGGGCAAATGGTTAACTAATCTGTTCTAAGCAAGAGCTAAGAGAGAACAATTGATCACTTTATTGAGGAAAAGAAATATTTTCACCCTCCAACACTTGCAAGGCTTATTTATAGAAAGCCTATCGCTAAGCTTCTCTTTCTTCAGAATCTTCACTATTATTGTCAGTGTTATTGTTTAAAATAGAAATTACAGTGATCATGACACTTGTATTCTTGCAGAGGGTAATTTAGCTGGTGGGATTAATCATGAGGGAATTGATTACTACAACAATCTCATAAATGAACAAATAGAAAATGGTATGATCATTAACAATAATATTCGTTATTATGCAAGAACCTTCAGATATATTTTAAACGTCATGTTGCGTACGAAGGTATAAAGCCCTTTGTGACAATCTTTCACTGGGATGTGCCACAAGCATTAGAAGATAAATATGGAGGGTTCTTGGATAGAGAAATTGTGTAAGTGAATTTGGTTATCTGTTTTGATATTGACCATAAAAGTGTCGTGTATTTATTTTTAGAGTCAATTGTGGATAGACACCCTTGTGACCCCCCTCTGACTGAATGGTTTTCACCCTTTTGCCTTCAGAGAAAGAGAAAATTGTTCTTTTTTAAACAAATATACCTCCTGAGAGTAAAATAGTCAATTCACTTGGGGACTCTATCTACAATAATAGAATTGCATATGGTCTATGCACGGTTAATCTTTATCTTTATTCCTCATCATTCTGATACTCACTTTTTGCTTCTTTAAAGGGATGACTTCAAGGACTACTGTGAAGTATGTTTCAAGGAATTTGGAGATAGAGTTAAAAATTGGGTCACAGTAAATGAGCCATGGTCTTTTAGTACCCTTGGTTATGGACTTGGATATCATGCACCAGGTCGATGCTCTCAGGATTTGGGTTGTCAATCTGGTGACTCGTTGAGGGAGCCATATACTGTCAGCCATAACCTCATCTTAGCCCATGCTGTAGCTTTCAGACTTTATAACGATAAGTTTAAGGTTAACTGGTTATAATCAACTTTATATTATAACTAAAGTGTCACACTTTAAATATCCATCCATTTCATACTGCTTCCACCTCTAGTGATTTTGTGCAACATAATCAAACCGACGTATATACATACACACATAAATTCACACAAAAACACTATACATATAGAGAGAGATTAATGGGTATCATATGCCATATGAGGGGATTCCCTCATATACAATGATGTGACACAATCTCCACTTAGTGGAGATTGTGTCACATCATTGTATATGGGAAAATCCCCTCATATGATATATGATACCCATTAATCTCACGCAAGCACGCACGCGCGCGCGCACACAGACACACAGACATATGGACAAGGATGGTTACATACATACATACATACATATGGACAAGGATGGTTGGTCAACTTGGACTGGAAACTTTTTATTAAATTAAAAAAATTAAATTCCAGTATACTCTCACCAATGACCAGCAACTTACTTGTTTCCTTTATGGTTTGTTGCATTTAAATTAGGATAGCCTCATATCTCACAACAAAAAGATGGTGGGTGCCTATTCAAATCTACTTTACTAGATGTAATGAAAAATTGTTAGTCCAACTCATACATGTATATACACACACACATTCTTTTGTAGG